AAGCACCATGGGGGGCTCCTGTGACTGGACATGTCCCTGGCTGTTCCTGTTGGCAGGACCCCAGGATCCTGCTCTGATGACCAGAGGGACAAGGCAGGCAGGGCTGTGCTCTGAGCCACTGTGCCAAGAAGGCTCCATCCACCTGCCTGCTCCCTGGAGGCGGCAGAGCGCGGCCTTCCCTGGATGAGGTGCTTTCACCCCTGGCTCTGAGGACAGGTGATCCCTGAGCAGGGAGAAAGGCACCTCACGGCATCCTGCTCCCCTCACCATGGCCCTCACCTGCACTTTCGTTCCAGGTGCTGATGCGGGGACCCCCTTCTCTGGACTAAGAGACCAACAGTCGCCTCCTGCTTTCCCTGGCCGAGCCGAGGACGATGCTGGGGACAGCCCGGGCTCCCTCTCGTGTGCTTCTTTCAGCATTTCCCCCGCCAAGTCGCACGTCTCCGTTGCAGAAGCCGCAGGCTGCGTGTTGGACTTGGAGCCACATGTGGCTCTTCGCTTGGGCAGTCGGCAACAAACCAAAGCCTGCCGGCGGAGCAAGAGGAAATTCTGAGATGAGTGTGGGAGCCCTCAGCCAGCGAGGATCTGCACAGGGTCTACCCGTGCTTCCCCTGCAGCCTCCTTCTGCCACCCCCATTTTATATGTTTTATACGATCTGTGCAGGGAGCGCTGGGTGGAGAAGTGACTGTGTGTTTTTTAGGTGCCTGTGCAGCTTTGCTTTCCTGTTAAAGAAATGGAAATATATTTATGTATGTTTTTATGAAACTGCAGCAACACGAAGGAGCTGTGCTGTCTTTCTCTGGGGATTGGGAAGGCGCTGGAGGGAGGAGAGGAGGAATAGCAGCCGATGCATGTGAAATGACTGTCTTTGGGCCACGGGGGCTGAGAGGCGGTGTGAGCAGAGGGCCCCCCGTGCGTGGCCAGCGCAGGGTGCTGCGGTGCCCGCGCTGGGAGCGCTCCAAGGCGGCAGCGTGCAGCAAGCAGCAGCGCAGACAAGTGCGTGGCGGCTGCTGGCCTCGATGGGGAGGTTGGCGCTGCTGCGGGCCCCAGCCAGCCGGGCCTGCCAGATGTGAGCTCAGCTGGCACCCCGCGCCGTCCAGCTGCTGTGGGCTCCTTTGTCCTCTCCGGCACCGCTTTGCGCACACGTGCCCCTGGCAGGGGGAAGCCGTTCTGTGCTCCCTATGATGGTGCTTTAATGTGAGCATTTGCCACCAGCTGTTCCCTTTCCGCTCGGGGAAGCTGGGGGAGCCGCTTGTGAGCGGCTTTCCCTCCTGGGAGGCTCTTGCTCGTCTGCGCGTATCTTCAGAGGGTGCGTTGGTGCCAGCCAAGAGCCGTGGCCAGGGGAAGCAGAAAGGGGCAGCAGCCCTAGAGCTGTGACCCCCGTGTTCCTGCTGCGGTTGCTGGCCGCCCTGGCCAGGCAGGAGCTGAGTGCGCTGCTGTGCCAAGCCAGGCGAGCCTGTTCTGCTCTGCTCTCCTGGCCCAGGGCCAGCATTTCTGTGGAGTGCCCTGGGCTGGTGCCTAGGGGCATCTCCTGTCCCCAGTGCCCCTGGGGACGCT